TCCCCCTCCCTTGCCCCTCGGGGCCCCCCCCATCTCTCGCCCTTCGGGGCTTCGCCACGTGTGGCGCTGGGGAAGCTGATCCTCCCCCCGTGGGCCTCCGGCCCCTGCTGGGGGGCAGCTGCCCCGCCTACTTCAACTTCTTCCGTCCGGGACCTATAGGCCGCGTGTGCTCTTGTGCATGCGGCTTCCCCGACGCTAAATACAAAATAATAATAATAATAATAACGGCACGTTGACGGCAGCTAGGCCGCATCTTGAGCCATCTCACAAGGGAGAGGATGGCGAGCTCTCCCGCCGCCTCCTCGCAACGGCGATCGATCCCGGCCGTGGTGCACACGCGCATCGACAAGGCGCGCGTGCGCACGCTGGCGCAGAACATCGCGTCGACCCATCTTTCCGCGCTGCTCGGCTCCGGCGTCGCGCTGCCGAAGCCGCCCGCGCTGCCCTGGGTGGACCTCGAGGTGTCGCCGCGCTTCGACCGGCCCGTGGAGATCTGCATCGACTGCCCGGAGAAGGCCTGCGGCGCGCCGGGCGTCGCGCGCGTGCTCGTGCTGCTCGAGCCCGAGGAGGTGTCGCGCGCGGCGGCGGCCGCGGCGGCGCGCGGCGGCTTCGACGTCGTCCTCGGCCACGACGCGGCGGCGACGGCGGCCGCGGGCGCGCGGGCCGCGGCCTTCTTCGCCCACGGCGGCACCTGGGTGCCCGAGGCGACGTGGCGGCGTCCGCGGAGCGCGCCGAAGCGCCGCGCCGCGAGCCTCGTCTGCGGCGACAAGCGGACGACGCGCGGCCACGCGATCCGGCGCGCGCTCTGGGCCGCGGCCGCGGGGTCCAAGGCCGTGGCGCGCTTCGCGTCGGCGCGCGCGACGACGCTGGCGATGGACGGCGGCGCGAAGAGGATGGGCGCGGCGCCCGAGGCCAAGGCCGCGGCCGTCGCTCCCTACGCGTTCCACGTGGCGATCGAAAACGTGCGGCGCGACGGCTACTTCACGGAGAAGCTCCTGGACTGTTTTTTGCTGCGCACGGTGCCCATCTACTGGGGCTGCCCGAATCTGGCCGACTTCGGCTTCGACGCGACGGGCGTGATCGTCGTCGACGACGGCGGCGACGTCGACGACGTCGCCGCCGCGGCGCTCCGCGCGGCCGAGGCCGCCGTCGCGACGGACGGCGACTACGCGGCGGCCATCGAGGCGAACTACGAACGGGCCCAGGCGTTTCTGGATCTCGAGGGCCGCCTCGAGGCCGCCGCCGCGGCCGCGCTCGCCGCGCCGCCGGCGCCGGCCGACGAGGCCGCCGTCGCGGCCGCGCTCGCCGCGCCGCCGGCGCCGGCCGACGACTGCGTCTGGCGGCCGCGGACCTGGCCCCTGCGGCTGCTCAGCGAGGCGCAGTACGCGGCCTGGGAGGCCGACGGCTACGTGTGCCTGCCCGGGGTCGTGCCGCCGGCGCTCTGCGCGGCCGCGGCCGCGGCGATCCGCGAGTTCGTGCGCGCGGACGACGCGGACGAGGCGACCTGGTACGCGAACACGGGCGACATCTACGACGAGTCCCTCGCGCCCCGCCTGGCCCACGGGCCCTGCGGCATGGTCCAGATGAGCCACCACGCGAGCCTCTGGGCCATCCGCCAGTGCCCCGGCGTGCATCGCGCGTTCGCGGACGTCTACGGCACGGAGGAGCTCTGGGTCACGTGCGACCGGGCCCACTTCAAGCCGCCGGAGCGCGCGGACCACCCGGCCTGGGCCGACCCGGGCGACGTCCACCGGGGCATGCACTGGGACGTCGACGTCGGCCGGCCGCCCGTGCCCTTCTCCGTGCAGGGCGTCGTGTACCTCGAGGCGACGGACGCGTCCACGGGCGCGCTGCGCGTCGTGCCGGGCTGCCGCGGCCGCCTGGCGTCGCTGCGCGAGGCCTGGCGATCGACGGGGGCCGACGCGCACGCGGGCGAGGCCGTCGCCGCGGAGGGCCCCGCGGGCACGCTCGTGCTCTGGCACGGCGCGACGCACCACGGCCCGGGCCGCAACGTCGGCGAGAGGCCGCGCGTGTCGGCCTACGTCGCCATGCTCCCCGTCGACGCCGCGCCCTTCGTCGGCCCGCGGCGGCCGAGCTACCCGCTGAGCCTCAGCGACGCGGGCACGCTCGCGTACGACGCCGACCCGGACTCCGCGACGCGGCTCGACCGCGGCGCCCGCGCGGCCAAGTGGCGCGGCCGGGCGCCGCTCCTCGTCGAGGACCCGGCGGAGGCCGACCTCGACCGCCGGCCCCCGGGCGAGGCCGACGGCGCGCCGTTCCCCGGGCTCACGGCGCTCGGCCGGAAGCTCGCGGGGCTCGACGCGTGGGACGGCGGCGCCTAACTCATAGTTTTAGCCCGCGCGGCGCGGCGCCTTCGCCGGGTAGGCCGCGACGGGAAGCCCGCAGCGCCAGCGGAGCTCGGGGGCCTCGCCGCACGCGTCGACGCGCGCCGCGGAGAGGAGCTGGACGCAGAGCCACGTGCCGCCGAGCGCGCCGACGTGCCAGAGCGGGTGCAGGAACGCGGGCCCGAGGACGCTCTCCCGCACGAGCGCGCAGAAGTGGAACTCGACGACCCACGCCGTGCCGCCGCCGACGGCGTAGCTGCCGATGGCCGCGACGAAGAGGGGCTTCACGAGCCCCCGCCGCGTCCGCTCGCCGACGGCGCGCCCGAACGCGAGGCGCGCGCACCCGGCGACGATGCAGAAGATCGACAGGAGGTACAGCGTCATGAAGGCCTCGTAGAAGGCGCGCCAGCGCGCGTAGACCGCGACGGCGGCGCCCGACGCGGCGGCGAAGGCCTTGGGCAGCCACGGCCGCCGCAGCGCGGCCGCGCCCGAGCCGAGCTCGCAGAGGATGAAGACGAGGACGGCGTTGAGCAGCAGCATGGGCGCCTCGTCCGCGGCCTGGCCCGGCGCGATCATCGTCGCGTGCAGCGCGACGCTGCCGGCGCCGATGACCGCCGTGAGCAGGTACGCCAAGGCGAACGCCGGCCGCTCCCAGCCGTGCGCCGCCGGCGCGCGCCGCATCGGGTTCGCGACGCAGACACCAAATATACCCAGGGCCACGTAGGGCAGCGACGACGCCGCGTTCCACGGCTCGGCGACCCAGGCGCTCCGCTCGAAGTTGGGCTCGCAGAAGTCGACCGACGACGGCGAGAAGCCGAGCGTCTCCCAGTAGCCGACCGGCGGGGCCATTTGATGATTCGTGGGTGCGATCGATGTGGATGTGATCGATGCGCTGCCTCGCGGCCACAAATGGCTGGGAGACGCGGTCAAATGGACCGATTTATCCGCGCATAAGCAGCCCAGCCTGTATGTTTGCCTCACCTTGCAGTGGAATTGCCACAAATCCTTGAGGCATGGCTTGCCATCGGATCTCGATAGAGCGCGCATCAATGCGCTCCTTCTCGCTCAAGCGGGTCATTAGCATCACTATGCTCGCATGCGCATCGAGCATGAAGCCGATGCCGCACCGAGTGGCTCCGCACCGGCCTCAGAGCTCTCCCGATGTTGCGCCGAGCTCTCTGGCGCGCAAGCACCTGCTCTCGGCGGGCGTGGCTGCGCCGAGCTCTCTGGCGCGCAAGCACCTGCTCTCGGCGGGCCTGGCGCTGCTGGCCGCCGCGCCGCTGGCGTCGCGCGCGAAGGACTTTGGGTGCACCGAGGGCGAGGACGACTACTTCTGCCTCGACGGGAAGCTCCGCGCGCAGAACGGCCTGCCGGCGTACCAGGCGCCGCCGAAGGCCAAGGTCGACGGCGCCGCGGCGAAGGAGCGGCGCCTCGAGGCCATGCGCGCGCAGTACCGCGGCGCGCGGGCCGGCGCGGCGCCGGCGCCGGCGCCCCCGCCCGGCGCGGCGCCGCCGCCGGCGTAGGCGCCGCGTAACGCCGGCGCGCGCCTTAGGACCCGGGCCCGGGCTCGTCCCAGCCCTTGCGCCAGTAGGCGCCGTGCTGGCCGATGAGGGCGGCGAGGCCCTTGTTCTGGACGAAGACGCGGCGGAGCGCGCCGCCGGGCCGCGCGTCCGCGGCCTCCGCCGCGCAGGCCGCGAGGCCCGCGAGGTCCGGCGTGCACGTGTAGACGTGGTCCGACGGCAGGGGCCGGAGGGGCGCGACGATGTGCCGCGCCGCGCGGAACTTGTGGACCGCCGCGCGCGCGCCGCCGAGGTGCCAGTCGTCGATGACGACCGCGCCGCCCGGCGAGAGGCGGTGGTACGCGCCGTGGAGCGCGTCGAGGACGCCGTCGTAGGCGTCCGCGTCGATGCGCAGGAGGGCCAGGACCGGCGCGCCCTCCGGCGGCGGAACCGGCGCGACGTCGGACGTCGAGCCGAGGACCGGCGGCAGCGACTCGTTGAAGAAGCCCTCGACGAAGGTCACGCGGCCGTCGAGGAGGCCGTAGCGGCGGAAGTTGTAGCGCACGGCGTCGACGCCGGAGACGAAGCGGTCCGTCCAGTCCGCCGTCGGGTCGACCTCCTTGGCGTGCGTCTCGCCCGTGGCCGCGACCTCGATGTCGAGGCGTGGCGGCGGGATGCCCGCGAACGAGTCCGCGACGACGACGCGCCGGGTCGCCTCGGCTGGGAACGCCGCCGCGAGGAGGCCCCGGAGGAAGATGCAGGCGCCGCCGCGGAAGACGCCCGCCTCCATGAGGTCCCCGGGCACGCCGTCGTCGAAGAGCCGGCCGACGAGGCGCTCGAGGTGGTCGAGGTCCGCGACGCTGAGCGTCGTCTGGTAGCGCCGCCGCGCGCGCTCCGCCTCCTCGCCGTCGGCGCCCGAGCTCAGGCCCGAGACGCCCGCCGCGCGCCACGTGAGGCCGAAGGGGTGCTCGCACGGCGCGGCGACGGGCGATTCCGCGGACCCGACGCCGCAGCCCGCCGCGGCGTCGTGGAGCCGCGCGTCGCCGAGGATGGCCGCCCACTCGCCGAGCTCGAAGTCGGCGTGGAGGTAGTTCGTCAGGCCCCGCTTGAGCCCGTCGAGGTAGAGGCCCGCCGCGTCGCCCTCGAGGCGCGCGGCGCCCGCGCCCGCGGGCGCCTCGCCGCCGAAGCGGTCGTCGGCGCAGGCGAGCTCCGGCGCGCCGGCGGCGCAGACCTCGCCCTCGAGGCCCACGTCGTAGACGCTCAGCGCGCCGCCGCCGGCGACGTCCGCCGCGCGGCCCTCGAGCGCCGCGTGCAGCCGCGCGCTGCTCAGGCGCACGACGGTGGCGCTCAGGCCGCTCTGGTCGCTCGGCAGGGGCCGCGCCGCCAGCGCCCAGTACCAGTTCTTGTAGATGGCGAGGCACGGCGATAAGACGAGCGCGTCCGCGCCCGCGAAGTCGCGCGCGCCGCCGTAGAAGTCGCTGCTGTTCCACCGCGTCTCGCACCAGGCCGCGAGGCGCGAGAAGGCGATGTCCGCCGCGAGCGTGTCGCCCTCGAGGAGGTAGGTCAGGGCCGCGTTGTTCCGGAACTCGACGGACTGGACGAGACCCTCGGTCATGGCGAGCTCGCGCAGCTCGCCGTAGCGCCCGGACCGCAGGAGCGACGCGCCGGCGTCGCCGTCGACGCCGTCGACGACGATGTCGTCGGGCACGACGAGCGTCGTCGGCAGCATGCGCTCCGGCTCCCGCGCGCCGCACGCGGCGACGAGGACGACCAGCCAGCGCGGGCGTTGGGCAGCCATGATCATTGCGCGATTCCTAATTCGGCGGCGCTTGGCGTTCAACACGAATCCTTGAACCTCTCGCGCGAACGAAGGAACGCCGTCACGGAGTCCGGGAACCCTTACGCCTATCGCGCGCAGGTGAAGGCCAGGGGCGTCGACGAGACGCCCCAGACGCTGTGGACGACGACGCTCGCCGCGCTCTCCGGCGCGTCGAGGTCCACGCGGACCGTCGACGTCCGCCACATGGCCTCCATGGAGAAGGACCCCGTCTGGATCGCGACGCCCGCCGCGTCCAGGATGTCGAAGTCGGTCTCGTAGGCGTCGTTCATCTTGACGAGGTCCCAGGCGTCGAAGCGCAGCGCGCCGTCGGCGCAGGACGCGCGCGACACGAGCGGCTCGTCGAAGAACTTCTCGACGGCGTAGGCCGCCCAGCCGACGACCTCCTCGAGCGTCGGGTCGTTGTTGTAGCGCGTCTCGTTGCCCGTCGTGCCGTAGACCTTGAGGTCCAGCGCCGACGTGGGCTGGCCGCCGTCCAGGGGCCGCGTGACCTCGACGACGGCCGCCTCCCACGTGATGTCGTCGGTCATCGTCGTCGGCCAGTAGAGCGACAGCACGTTGCCTACCAAGTGCGACGGGGTCGGAACTCTTTTCAGGCGACATTCGCGCGAAAAAAACACTCGCGTCGCTCGACGCCGCGCGTTGCCCGTGGGCATCCTATCCGCGTCGCCGTAGACGAAGGCGTAGGGCACCTGGTAGTCCCAGACGACGCGCGCGACCATGGCGTCCATGTCGAGGTTCACGACGGCGACGCGGGACCGCAGGTCCGTCGCGTTCCGCGAGTTCGCGAACACGAAGTAGTCGCCCTCGCCAAAGTATTCCAGGCCGTGGTTCACGTGCCAGAACGAGTAGTTCCGCGCCTCCGTGTCCGCGCGGCTCCCGTCGATGTCGTACATCGCAAAGTCCGTGGCCCGCCCGCCGACGCACCACTGCGTCTCGAGCGTCTTCTGGTCCATGAGGAAGAAGGAGCAGACCTCGGGGTCCGCGGCCTTGTTCCCCGTGAGGACGACCGCGTCCTGCTGCAGGTACTGGATGTGGTTCGGGTAGTTGGGCAGCGCGTAGACGTTGAAGCGCACGAGGTCCATCGCGCCCGTCTTCGTGTCGTAGCGCGCCAGGCCCGTCGAGTTCTCGTTGAGGTCCTGCAGCGCGTAGAACTTGGACGTGCCCGAGGGGGCGTCGTAGACGAGCGACGACGCGTGCGAGTCGATGAGGAGGTTCGTCGTCTCGTCGGGCACGACGTAGGGCGCCGTGTCCGTCTTCCACTCCCAGAGGTACGGGTTCCCCGCCTTGATGCGGCCCGAGTTCGACATGAGGAGGAAGGCGTCCGGGCTATAGTAGCGCATGCCGTCCACCGTGACGCGCAGGAGGTCGTCGATTTCGTCGCCCTGCGAGTCGTAGGGCAGGCTCGACGGCACGATCGTCGCCGCGCGGATCGTCCCCGTGGGGCTGAACACCACGAGCAGCGACGCCGTCGACGTGTCCAGCGTGTACTGGTTGAAGCACGTCGCGAGCCAGCCGGTGGCGCCCTCGCCGAGGTCGCCCTCGAGCGCCGCGGCGTCGAAGGTGAAGACCATGCTCGAGGGCAGGTACTGCTCGACGCACGCCTCGTAGTCGTACATCTGCGTCACGCAGCCCTGGTCGCCCATGTCCGCGAGGGCCTCGCGGACTTTAGGGAACTGGCGCACGAGGTCCATGGCGGTGACCGTGACCGTTCGCTGCTGCGGTTCGCGTTTCGCCCGGGTCGCCAGCAGCGCCGCGCGGCTCGGCGACGCGCCGCCGGTCCAGGCGGCGACGCCGAACACGGCCAGCAGCCCCAGCGCGTTCAGCGCCACGACGCGCCCGGGCCCGCGTTCCTTCGTCGTCGGCCGGAGCACGTGGGTCCCATAGCTGGATCGCAGCATGGTGGGCGCCGCTTGGGGGAGGCTGCCCATCGCACGCTGACAGAGAATATCCGAACTTCTCAAGGTTGATGTCGAAGTTTGAGAGAAGCTGCCCCCAGGACGATGGGCCAGCGGAAGAAGCAAGGTGCTGCGGGGGGAGGGAGCACGCCGCCCCCGGGCGGTGCTGCGGCGCCAGGGCCGGCGGGCGGCGCGTCGCGGGCCAACGGCGGTGCGCTCTCTGAAGGGTCGGCATCTGAAGGATCGCCATTCGACGGGCTGTCCGAGGTGCAGCAGAAAGCATTTGTCTGGATGGTCAATTTTTTGGGCCCGCTCGAGGGCCGCGCCCGAGAGCTGCGAGACAGGACTCGCGGCAAGTCGGAGCTGATGGTCTTGGACCTGCGCGTGCGTCGCGGCGCGGACCCGCCGCCGGACGCGCGCGTCCTCGCGGAGGCGCGGCTGTTCTCGCGCGGCCGGCCGAGGAGCATTGTCTCGCACATGGATGACATCGGCTATCCCGTTTCCTACGGCGAGCCGCAGGTCGCTCTCATCCTGTCCAAATGCGAAGTCCTGCGCGAGGCGGACACGATGCTCATCTGCTGCGTGGGGGACTCGGTCCCGCCGGGAGGCGGGCCACTGCCGCCCAACTTCAGCCACTCCTTCCTGAGCACGTGCTTCGACCAGCTCCGGGAGATCCGCAGCGCGTTGGCGAAGCCCGCGAGGCCCAAGGAGCGACCGGAGCCGGAAGCGGTCTGGAGGACGCGGGACGCCCGCCTCGCGTGCGGAAATTGCGGGACTCACGAGGGGAAGATGCTGTCCTGCGCCGGTTGCGGGCAAGTGCGTTATTGCGGGCGCTTGTGCCAGAAACAGGCCTGGTCGCAGCACAAGGAGGAGTGTAGAAAATACCAGAAGGTCGCGGCCGACGTCGACGCCATGGGCCAAAAGATGTCGGAGAGCGCGTCGCTCCGAGTGCACACGAATGGCAAGGAGGTGGTCAAGCACCTCTCGGGAGCGGGACTCGACGCGATGATCACCCCCGAGGATGCCGCCGCCTTCCAGGTGAAAGTCGAGCAGTTCGCGAACGTCATGGTTCGGGAAGGATACCTGTCGAAGCTCGTCTGGGGGATGAGGTGCAACAAATTTAGCACCGCGGGGGGCCTATCTGCCGACGTCGTCCGGCGCAAGGGCCTCGACGGGACCCGGAAAATCCTCTGCATGATCAAAAACGCGGCTTTCGAGGACTGGCTCGCGCGGCACATGAAAAGCCTCGAGCTCGTCGGCCGCGCCTGTTCCGAGCTCGCGATGACGCTCTTGGATGAGGACGACGTCCGCCTCTGCAAAGGCAAGGGGATGACGGGCGTCGACGTCTTGAGCAGGCAGCTGCGCAATCCCGACTTCGACCCGAAAGAGGGCTTCCTCTGCATGTTCATCGACCCCTCCTACGGGCCGTACGCGGACGCGACCCTCATCGTCCGGTGGGACCTCCGCTTCGAGTGCGAGGCTCCGTAGAATCGAACGAAAACTTAGCGCGGGGGCGCGGCGCTACGCGTCGTCGGGCGGCATGCTCGCGTACGCGTCGAAGAACTCGGCGTCGTCGCTGTCCTGGGAGATGGCTCGCGGAAGCCGGCTCGGGTCCATGCCGAGGACGGCGCGGAGGACGTCGTCGTCGGCCGGGGGCGGCGCGTCGGACGCCGCGCGCGTCTTCTCGAGCGTCGCCCGGAGCCTGCCGAGGAGCCGCTGGACCTCCGCGGACGTCTGGGGCTCGTCGCGGGGCCGGGGCTCCGGCGCGCGCGCGCGCCGCTGCTGCTTCGCGGCGAGGTACTCCTTGAGGCTGACCTGCTTCGCCGGCGGAGGCCGCGCGGGCCCGCGGTCGTTCTCGTCCGCGGCGGCCGCGGCCGCGCGGCGCGGCGGCGGCGGCGGCGGCGCGTCGCCGCCCGCGTCCGCGGGGTCCGCGGCGGCGGCGCGCGGCGGCGGCGGCGCGTCGCCGGCGCCCGCGGGCGCGCGCGGCGGCGACGGCGCGGGCACGGGCCCCGCGAGGACCTCGACGACGGATTCGCCGCCGTCGCCGTCGCGCGCGCGGCGGTCCGCGGCGATGCGCGCGCGCATCTGCTTCCGCGACGCCTCGCGCGCGGCCGCGCGCGCCTCGGCGAGCGTCGGCTCGGCCGGGGGCCGCGGCGCCGCGGCCGCGCGCGCGGCCTCGGCGTCCGCGGCCTCGGCGCGCGCGCGGAGCCGCGCGGCGGCCGCCGCGGGGCCGGCCTTGGGGTCCGAGCCCCGGCGGCCGTTCCCCGGCGGCGACCGGCGCCGCGGCGCCCGCGGCGCCGCGCCCGCGGCCGCGGCCGCGTCCGCGGCGGCCGCGTCGCGCGCGAGCGCCTCGGCCCGCGCGCGGAGCCGCGCGGCCGCGGCGCCCGCGCGGGCCGCGGGCGACACGGCGACGGGCTTTTCCGCCGGCTCCGGCGACGCGGGGAAGGGCAGCGCGCAGCGGTAGACCGCGGGCGCCGCCGCGGCCTCCGCGGCGGCCGCCGCGGCCTCGGCGTCGAGGTCGGCGTCGAGGTCGACGGCGTCGCCAACGTCGTCGGGCGGCGGCCGGCGCATGCCACCGAGCTGCTCCTTGAGCTGGCCCATCTGCGCCTCGAGGTTCCCGAGCCAGGCCGGGCCCGCGACGGGCGGCGACGGCGCGCGCCGGTCGGCCGCGCGCGGCGCGGGCGCGGGCGGCGTCGCGGCGCGGCGCTCCGGCGACGGGTCCCGCGCGGCCGCGGGCGCCGGCGCCGCGTCGGCCGCGGGTGCCGCGTCGGCCGCGGCGTCGGCCGCGGGCGCCGCGTCGGCCGCGTCGCCGCCCCGCGCCGCGGCGCGCGCGCGGACGGCGTCGCGGACGCGGCGGCCCGCGACGTCGTCGCGGCGGTCGCGGTCGCCGGCGGCCGGCGGCGGCGGCGGCGGCGGCGAGCCGCGGGGCGGCGCGCCGTCGACGCCGTCGGGCATCTCCCACTGGCTGTGGCCCGTGATCTCGTTGACGTAGAACCACTTGTCGCTCGCCGGGTCCCGCTTGAGCCACCAGCCGCCGCCGAGCGCGCGGTACTCGGCGCGCTCGTCGCCGTCGCCCGCGGCGCCGTCGTCGCTCGAGTCGTCGTCGTCGTCGCTCGACGAGTCGTCGCCGCCGCCGCCCGCGGGCACCGCGCCGTCCGACGACGACGACGACGCCGTCGACGGGGCCTCGGCCGCGGCGTCGCCCGCGGGCGGCCGCGGCGCCGCGGCGCCGGGCCGCGGCGACGGCCGCCGCTCCGGCGCCCGGGCCGGCGACTCCTCGGCGCCGGCGTCCTCGTCGAGCGTCGCCAGGGGCGCGCGCGGCGCGCGGAGCGCCGCGGCGCCGTCGCCGTCCGCGGGCTCGCGCGCGCGGTCCGCCTCGCGGCGGACCTCGCGGATCGCGCGCGCCTTCGCCGCGCGCTCCAGCGCGCTGCGCTCCGCGGCCCGGGCGCGCGCGAGGAAGCGCGGCGGCGCGCGCTTCGGCGCCGCGCGCGGTTGCGCCGCGGGCACGGGCGGCTTCCGCGGCGGCGGCCGCGGCGGCGCGGCGTCGTCGGCCGCCGCGCGCGCGAACTTGCGGTCGAGGCGCGCGCGCGCGTCCGGCAGGTTGCTGTCGCGGGACCGCTGGCGCTCGAGGGGCACGGGCGGCCGCGCGGGCGCGCCCGGCGCGACGCGCGCGCGGTCCGGCGGCGCCGCGGCGGCCCGGTCGCGGCGCCGGGGCTCCGCGTCGTCGCGCGCGCGGCCCCGGAGCAGGCCCCGGAGCTCCGCGGCGTCCGGCGGCCGGTCCTCGTCGCGCGGCGGCGGCGGCGGCGGCTCGTCGGGCCGCGCGCCGTCGCCCGCGGCGGCGCCGCGGACGCGCCGCGCGGCCGCGGCGACGACGGGCCGCGCGAGCACGTCGACGATGTCCGGCCGGTCCCGGGGCCGCTTCGCCAGGAGCTCCGTCTGCAGGCGCCGCAGCTCCGGGGAGAAGGACCCGCCGAGCTTCGGGTACGCCGGGCTGTTGTTCGCCGCGCCGTACATCACTAAACGCACGAGCGCGGGCATGGACCGCGCCTCGAAGGCGCGCTTCAGCGCCACGAGCTCGAAGAGCACGCAGCCCACGGACCAGACGTCGGCCTTGTAGTCGTAGGGCTTCTCGTCGAGGAGCTCCGGCGCCATGTAGCACGGCGTGCCGACGGCCGTCGCCGCGAGGTCGCCCGTCGCGTCGAGGACCCGCGAGATGCCAAAGTCCCCGAGCTTGACGACGTCGCGCCCGCCGCCGTCGCGCGTCACGAAGGCGTTGGACGTCTTCACGTCGCGGTGGACGACGCGGTGCGCGTGCACGTGCTCGAGCGCCATGCACAGCTGCGCGAAGACCCGGAGCGCCGACGACTCCGACGGCCGCTGCCTCGCGCGGCGCCGCACGGCGACCCACTTCTCCAGGTCGCCGCACTCGCAGTACTCCATGACGATGCAGAGCTCGCGGCCGCCGCTCGAGTTCCGCCGCAGGAACGACTCGAGGTGGCTCACGATGTGCGGGTGCCGCAGCGTCGCGAGCAGCTTCGCCTCCTGGCGCACGAGCTTCGCCTCGCCGCGGCTCAGCCGCGCGAGGGCGATGGTCTTGACGACGCAGACGAGGCCGTCCTTCTTCCGCTTCGCGACGATGGCGCTCCCGTAGGACCCCTTGCCCACGACCTTCTTGCAGTCGTACTTCTCCATGGTGGTGTGTGTTGCGGGGGTAGCGTGTGCGTGTGCGGCAGGTGTGGCGCCGTCGCGCGGGTTCAACGGCGCGCGCGGGCAGCGCCGCGCCCCCGGAGACGCGCTCAGGAGGCGCGACCGAGTTGGTTTTTAGCAGCACCCATCCCGTCAACCGCGGATTTTTACGAATCGCCACAAGGCGCGATGGAGGCGCCCGGCGACGATGCCAGCGACCCGACGCTCAAATCGGCGCTCGCGCAGGAGGTCGGCGCGCTGCGCGAGGCCAACGAGTCCGCCGGCGCGCCGTCGGCGCCGGCGCCCGCCGGCGACATCTCCTGGGAGAACGTGACGGACGACGGCCTCGTGAAGAAGGCGACGCTGCGCGCGACGAGCATGAAGGTGCCGCTCTACCCCGTGGACGGCATGGAGCTCAAGGTGCACTACACGGGCACGCTGCCCTACGTCGAGGGAGCCGACGAGCCCTTCGACTGCTCGCGGAAGCGGAAGACGCCGTTCACGTTCACGCTCGGCCACGGCGCGGTCATCGCGGGCTGGGACGAGGCGTTCTGCAAGGTCGCCGTCGGCGAGACGGCGCTCATCGAGGTGGGCCCGGCCTACGGCTACGGGTCCGAGGGCCACCCGCCGGTGATCCCGCCGGACGCGCACCTCCGCTTCGAGGTCGAGCTCCTGAGCGCGGCCGTGAAGAAGAAGGAGCTGCACCAGCTCACGGCCGAGGAGAAGTACGAGCTGTCGACGCTCCACAAGGCCAAGGGCCTCGAGCTCTTCGCCGCCCAGGAGTGGAAGGGCGCGCGCCGCGCGTTCGCGGAGGCGGTGCACTACTGCGACGCGTCGACCTACACGCGCAACGACAAGCCGCTGCCCGACGACGTCGCCGCCGTCTACCTCTCCTGCCACCTCAACGCGTCCCAGTGCGCCCTGAACGCGAAGGAGTGGCCCGCGGCGGCGGCCTACGCGACGCGCGCGGTCCGGCTCCGACCCGACAGCGTCAAGGCGCTGTACCGGCGGGGCGTCGCGCGGAGCCGCATGGGCCTCCTCGACGAGGCCAAGGCGGACCTGAAGAAGGCCGCGGCCCTCGACCCGAAGAACAAGCCCGTGCGCGTCGCCTGGGCCGAACTCAAGACCCTCGTCGCGGAGCAGACCAAGGGCCAGAAGACGACGTTCAAGGGCGCGTTCGACAAGGTGAGCCTCTTCGGCGACAAGCCGTCGAACGTGCTTCACCCGAGCGAGACGGAGAATCCCTACGTCTTCTTCCGCATCCGCGCGTTGCCCAAGGGCGGCGAGGGCGGCGCCGCGGCCGCGGAGGGCTTCGACGGCACGCTCGTGCTCCGCGTCTACGAGGACAGCCACCCGAAGACCGCGAAGAACTTCCTCGCGCTCACGCGCGGCGACAAGGGCCGGGGCCGCGTCTTCGGCAAGCCCCTCGCCTACGCGGGCACGCCCATCCACCGCGTCGCCAAGGACTTCATGATCCAGGGCGGCGACGTCGTCGCGGGCGACGGCACGTCGGGCGAGTCCATCTACGGCAAGACCTTCAAGGACGAGCACACGCACCTCAAGTTCGACGCGCCGGGCTGCCTCTCCATGGCCAACAGCGGGCCGGACACGAACCAGTCCCAGTGGTTCGTCACCTGCGACGAGGCGCCGCACCTCGACGGCAAGCACGTCGTCTTCGGCAAGCTCGTCGCGGGCATGGCCTTCCTCAAGCAGCTCGCGAACCTCGACGCCGACGCCGACGGCGCGCCCAAGTTCTTCTCCGTGAAGATCGCCCAGTGCGACGTCCTCGACAAGCACGTCGCCGTCCAGATGATCGCCGAGGACAAGCGCGAGGCCAAGGCCGCGGCGCTCGAGGCCGCGGCCGCCAAGGCCGAACCCGCGGCGGCGACCCCGGAGGCCGACGCCGACGCCGCGGCCAGCGACGCGAAGATGATCACGGAGAACGAGCTGTGAGGTCTGCGTAAAGTTGCGGCTAGGCTAAGAGAGGCTAAAGCTAGAGAGCCCTATCCAGCACGGCTGCAACATCGCTTCAAGTTGAATGTGAGAGCACTGTGACGGCATGGCGACATCGCTCGGCCGCATGCCGAAAGCGTCGTTGCCGATGCAGTCGCTCGGCCGCACAACGCGTCTGCTGCTGCTCCTCGCATCGGCACTGGCGTTGCCGCCGACGCCGACGCAGAAGCGGCGCTACGACCTCGTCATCTACGGCGCGACGGGCTTCACGGGCCGCCTCGCGGCGGAGTACATGGAGTCGCGCTACCGCAAGACGACCGTGACCTGGGCGCTCGCCGGGCGGAACCGCGCGAAGCTCGAATCGCTCGCCAAGGAGATCGGCGCCGACGACGTGCCGCTTTTGGTCGCGGATGCGAACGACGCCGACGCCGTCGCCGCCATGGTCGGCGACGCCAAGGCCGTCGCGAATTTCGCGGGCACGCCGTTCCTCACGAAGGCGCTGCCCGTCGTCGAGGCCTGCGGCCGCCTCGGCACGCACTACGTGGACATCACGGGCGAGACGGCGCTCCACAGGGCGTCGGCGGCGCGCTACGACGCGCTCGCCAAGTCGACGGGCGCGTGCGTCGTCCACAGCTGCGGCTACGACAGCGTGCCGTCCGACCTCGGGTATTTGCTGGCCAACGACGCCTACCGCCACCTCCACGGCGGCCGCGCGCCGTCGCGCGCGCGCTACGTGAGCCGGTCCTTCTCGGGCGGCGCGTCCGGCGGCAGCATCTACACGGGCCTGGCGCTCTTTGGCTTCGCGGACGAACTCTTCGACGACGACGCGAGGCGGCTCGTCGCCGAAACCTCGGGCAAGTACCCGCTCAGCGACGTCTGCGGGCCGGACGCGACCGACACGGTGTCGTTCCCCGAGTGGGACTGGCTCGCCGACGCCTGGGCGATGCCGTTCATCATGGCGGGCGCGAACGCGCCCGTCGTCCGCAAGAGCCAGGAGATCTACGGCGACTACGTGCCCTACGACGAGGTCGAGGCCTACGCCGGCTCGCGCGTCGGCGCCTACGCGTCCTACGCGGCGACCGTGGGGAGTCTGCTCGCGGTCCTCTTCCCGCCGACGCGGGCGCTCCTCAAGCGCTACGTGCTGCCCAAGCCCGGCGAGGGGCCGGACCGCGCGACGCGCGACGGCGGCGGCTTCCACTCGGAGGTCATCTGCTCCGGCGTCGAGGGCGCCGTGAGCGCCCACGTCAAGAGCGGCACGGCGGGCGACGGCGGCTACAAGGCGACGGCGCACATGGCCGTCGAGGCCGCGCTCGGCCTGGCCCTCGGCGACGGCGGCTGCGAGGACGGCGGCGTGCTGACGCCCGCGACGGCGCTCGGCTACGTCCTCGTGGAGCGCCTCCGGGCCACGGGCATGGACCTCTACATCGAGGAGAAGACGCTCTCGGCGACGGCGCTCCACTACCTGCAGGCCGCTAAAAGCTAGGTGTGAATGGCGTTACCGCTCGCCGCACCACTCGGCGACGTGGTCGAAGGGGAGGACGTCGATGCCGTCGTCGTCGTCGAAGCGGACCGTCGCCTGCTCCTTGCGCTTGTCGCGCGCGAGGAGCGTGCCGAGGGCGTTCTTCCGCGGGCCGAGGACGGCGCGGACGGCGCCGCCGTCCTTGGGGAGCGCCGTCTCGAGGTGCTTCTCCCGGAGGCCCGGCTCGTCGACGCGGTCGCCGTTCTCCAACGCGAGCGTCGCGCGGAGCGCGCCGCCGTCGCCCATGAGCACGTCGAGCACGCGGCCCTTGCAGCGGAAGCGCGGGTCGCCGTCGCGGGCGACGCGCACCTTGATGCCGACGACGAGCCAGGGCGGCGCCTTGGGCCGCGCGGGCTCCGCGGCTCGCTTCCGCGCGCCGCCGCCGCCGTCGGTTTCCCGCTTGCGCTTCTTCTTCGGTTCCCTGAAGGGCTTCTTCGCCAGGCTCGCGGCGTCGACGCGGGCCAGGGCCCGGTGGGGCAGGGGCAGCAGTTCCCGGCCGGAGCTCCCCGCGGTCGCCTCGATCTCCACGACCGCGTGGTTCGGGCGGATCGCGTCCGACGGCTCGACGACGCGCGCGCGCCGCCCGTCGAGGTCCGCGTCGAGGGTCTTGTCGCCGCGGGGCCGCGAGATGCGGACGACGTCGCCCGCGGCGAGGGGCGCGTCGGGCGCCGCGGGCGCGTCGTCCTTCTTCGCGGCGCCGAGCCACGCGCGCTTCGTCCCCTCCTTCTCCTTCTCCTGCTTCTTCCGCTCCTTCTCGCGCTTCCGCAGCAGGTCGAGGTCGACCTGCTGCGCGGCGGCGGCGGCCTCCTTGGACGTGGCGCTGCGGCCCTCGCGGAGGCGGCCCCGCTTGTCGTAGATCTCCGGCGGCTTGGGCGTCGCGCCGAGCCCCAGACCCTTCTGCCGCGCCTCCACGGGGTCCTTGAACCGGTCCTCGTCCTCGTCCGTCGGCCCGCCCCAGCCCATGCCCCGGAGCATGCCCACGCCGAAGGCCTCGATGGGCACGGCCTTGTAGGCCGCGTCCTCGCACGTGATGTCGTCCGCGCGCCGGCTCACGTCGTGGCGGAACTTGTCGCCCTCGTCCTCGATGTCCGCGAGGCCGGGCATCATCGCCGCCACGAGCAGGGGCGCGTCGGCCCGCGGCGCCGCACCGCCGCCGCCGTCGAGGGGGATGACGAGCTTCGCGTCGGGTTTCTCCGTCTTGACGAACTCGCCGACGCCCTCGGCGATGACGGCCGCCGCGGCCGCCTCGTCGAGGCTCGCGGACGCCGCCGACGGCGCGGCGGGCTCGCGCTTGACGGGCTCGCCGGCCCAGGGGTTCGCCGTGAGCGGGATGACGAGGTCCTTGGCGATGTCGCGCTTCGCCTCCTCCTCGCTCTTGTCGACGAAGGCGGCGATGACCGGCTGCTTGGCGGTCGCCGACGGCTTCTTTTTGATCGAGAAGCCGTTCATCGTCGCGTGGGTGGCGCGATGGATGCGAATGCTCGCAGGTGCGCGCGCGCGTTCAGGCGCCGCTACCGTTCGCTGTGCGATCCGCGAAGCGTCGAGGCGCCATCGGCGGCCGTGGGAATTGGGCCGATGTTGAGCGGCACGCTCGACGGCAACGTTCATCGCGCGCGCGTCAAAAGACGTGTGCGAGTATCTCGCGGCCGTTCATGCTGCCTCGTCACCGTGTTCCCGGGGCTGCGAGCTTCCCGAGACTGCTCGCAAATCGGCTGACTCGCGGCCGGAGTGACTTCCGCGTCGCGGAGTACGACGAGGTCCGGCCGTCGTGGTCGTCCGCGCCGCAGCAGCGGCACGCGGCGCCCGGGCGGCGCTCCACGAGCACGTTGAGGCCGCCTTTCAGGCTGAGTCAGAGAGACACAAAGTATGTTAGGAATGTGTGAGAGGACCAGTAGAGCCGGTAGAGGCTCGGTAAGGCCGATGGTGAAGGCAGGGTAGGGTGCTCCTGTGTGTGTGGTGTCTTGTGCTCCCCCGCAGCGCGCAGGGTGAGTCAGGGCGTGGCGAACACGCGTGATGAAAGTGGTGGAAGAGCGAGACGGGTCAGTGCGGAATCTGGACCCGGCCCGTCGCGGAGTCGGCGGCCGCGTAGAGAGGAGCTCGTCGGTAGCATCGGCGGCGTAGACGGTCTCGGTGTCGCCGTGGAGGCGGGCTTGAACGCCGGACCCGGGGTGTGCCGGGGGCGTGGTGCCGCTCGCCAGAGATACCCCCGGCGGTATCCCCCGTATCCTATAACACTCATACCCCGAGTCTGGGCTATGGACCACTAACGCTGCTTTTCTGCGGCCCTGTGATCACAGGGTAAGCCTGCTAACCCCAGCACCGCCGCAGCTCCGGCCGAGCGCCGCTCTCCGCCGGAGCGCCGCCCCGCGCCACGCCGCCGCGAATCCCGTCGGATTCCGCCGCGACACGGCCCGGAGCGGCAGCCCCTCCGCCGGCCGGGACCCCCCAGAGGCCCCCGCCCGCGGCGCAGCCCCCTCCTGTCGCGCCCCGTTCCACTCGGGGCGCTGGGACTGCAGTAGACGCTCCGCGTCTACCAGCCGTCATCATGACCGACGAGACGGAGACCGACACGTCAAATTTCGCAAAAATGTTTGACAGACTCCCCGCGTTCAACCCGCCCGACACCAACAGCGCCGGCGCCATCGCGCTCCGCGCCTGGGTGCGCGGCCTGACGGCGCGCGGGCCGCCGGCGCTCGCGTTCCTCCGCAAGTACGAGGAGGACGACTTCGTGAGCAGCTACGACTCGTACCTGCCGAGCGGGACCGGCTCCGGAGCCAAGAAGGCCTACATCGCACGCGCCCTCATGTACGCGCTCGAGACGCGCTTGGAGGGCACGGCGCAGGTCTACGTCGACCTGCTGATCCAGGCCAAAGGCGACATCTCGGCCAAGGGCATCTTCCTCTCGCTCATCGAGGAGTACAAGGCCGGGGACGCGAGCGACGTCCGGCGCGACCTCGCCGCGCTCTCGGCGAACGCCAACGGCGGCCTCCGCGCGACGCAGCTGCGCCTCAAGGTCCTCGCCAATCAACACCGCGTCGCCACGGGCATGCAACTGTCCAGCGCGGAGCTCCGCGACTACGCGCTCGACGCCCTCGACCCGGAGGGGGGGCGAGCGGGCGGCGCGGTCGAAGGCGGGCCGCCGGCCTCGCGCTGCGACGTGACGTTGATGTCAATCGTCGTTTTCGAGCTCGCTCGCTCGTTTGGCGCCGGTAGCGGCACCGGGTCTACGCGACGCCAGAGAGGCGCCGCGGTCGACTCCCCCGGAAGGAGAGGAGAGCCGCGGGGACAGCCGACGGCGGAGCGTCGTGTGACGTGCCGTTCGTTGACTGTCTTAATTCCCGCACGAGTTCGCGCAGGAAGGCGGCGGCGGCGGCGAGCCAACGCGACGCCGAGGAGGCGCCGCGGGGCGACTCCCCCGCGAGGAGGGAGGAGCCGCAGGAGGGGGCGGGCGGCGGGGCGCTCTGGTGGCGCGTGTCCGCGATGCCCTCCGTTCGCGTCCTCGTTCGTTCGGAAGACGCGCGTGTCGTTTTGGCGCCGGAGGTGGCTCCGGGCTTGCGACGCCGAAGGGCGCCGCTCGCGACTCCCCCGGAAGGCAGGAGGAGCCGCGCCCCGCCGCGGCCAGAGCCGCGGCGAAAAATGGGCTGCACGGCGGGGCGCGGGCTGCCTCGCCGCGCTGCCGTGCCGCAGGACGCTTCGCAGCGCCCTGTTGCTGCGCGAGGGACCCGGTGGGTGTCGCGCGAGCAGGCTGCGCCCGGCGGCTAGCCGGGCGCGCGCGCAGGAGCGCATAGTGGGCCCATAACCCAGAGAGACACAAAGTATGTTAGGAATGTGTGAGAGGACCAGTAGAGCCGGTAGAGGCTCGGTAAGGCCGATGGTGAAGGCAGGGTAGGGTGCTCCTGTGTGTGTGGTGTCTTGTGTGAGTTCGGTCATCGAGCGGCGCGCGGCCGGTCCATGTCGCGCGCCAACATCGGTTCAAGATAGATGCGATCAGCCGATTTGTGACGATCGATTGCTCGGTGCTCCGACTTGCCCGCTCGCCATCGACCTCGACCGATGGCGCCCGCATCGGCCGACGACGACGACCGCAAGCAGACGATCAATTTGGCGAAGTCGATCCTCTTGAAAGCGCTCCTCGCGACGAGCGTCGTCGTCGCGGGCGCGAAGATCAAGGCGCTCGCGCTGCCGTCGACGAATGCGGACGGGCGGCCGCGGCGGGCCGTGGCGCCGTTCACGAAGCCCGGCGACGGCTGGCCGAGCAAGCTGAGCAAGACCCACCTGGCCCAGCTCGACGACGGCAAGAAGGTGCTGCTCGCGGGCCGCGAGGCGAACGCGGGCGGCGGCCGCGGCACGGCGGTCTGCGACGTCGCCGCGCCGCCGGACAGCTGCTGGCAGGCCATCCTCGGCTTCGAGCGCTACGCGGGCCGCCTCGCCCAGTGCTCCTCGAGCTCCGTCTACGAGCGGAAGAAGAACGTCATGGCGCGGAGCGAGACGATCAAGGTCCACATGAAGCTCGCCGGCGGCGTGAAGACGTTCAACTGCTTCTACGACCACACCTACCGGCCCGACAAGCACACGGTGACCTGGACCCTGGACCCGGACAAGAAGTCGGACTTCCTCGACGTCCAGGGCCAGTGGTGCGTCTACAAGCACCCGACGAAGAAGAACTGGAGCCGCGTATGGTACTCCGCGGACGTCGTGTTGCCGCCGTGGCTGCCCCGCGTCGTCGTCGTCCAGCTCTGCAAGACGTCGGGCACCAAGGCGCTCCAGTTCGCGAAGAAGGAGGCCGAGGCCGTCTACAAGAGCTCGAGCCGCTTCCGCGGCGGCTTCCGGCTCCCGAGCTCGCTCGCGCCCACGCCGAAGATGGCCCATCTGAGGTAGGGCGCGCCGGGCGCGATTCCCCCTAAGACGACGAAGACCAGTCCCCGGGGTTGTCGTTACGCGTCGAAGGCGACGAGCTTCAGCACCGTCGCGAGCGAGGAAGCATTCCCCGGGGTTGTCGTTACGCGTCGAAGGCGACGAGCTTCAGCACCGTCGCGAGCGAGGAAGCATTCCCCCGGGGTGAGAGTCGTTACGCGTCGAAGGCGACGAGCTTCAGCACCGTCGCGAGCGAGACGCTCGTGCCGAGGCCGTCCCAGAAGGAGTCGAGGCCGCGCGGCGACTCGGGCGCGTGCTGGAAGAGGACGAAGTAGAGCTCCCAGTCGACGAAGCTCAGCTTGAGGCGGCCCGGGAAGGCCCGCTCGTGGGCCAGGTGGAGGTCGATCTCGCGGACCCGCAGGTGGAGGTGGGCCTCGTCGTCGGTCTGCCAGTAGGACGCGACGCGCTGGCGCACGAGCGCGTGGCTCTTGGGCCAGACCGTGCACTTGACGACGGCGCGCTTCGCGCAGCAGTCGCGCTTGCCCGCGACGGCGGAGAACGCCGCGCCGTCGGCCTTGCGCACGAAGGTCACGCGCGCGACGCACGCGCCGCACTTGAGCGCCGCGTGGAGGCGCGCGGCGTCGACGCCCGGCAGGTCCACGGCGTACTCGGGCCCGCCGTCGACGGCGACGTCGGCGAGGCCCGCGAGGCTCGGGAGGCACCGCCGCGCGGCGAAGCCCGGGCCCTCGACTTCGAGAAAGAGCGCGACGCCGCCGAGGCCCGCGTCGCCCCGCGGCGGCGCGGCGAGGCGCCGGAAGAGCGCGCGGCGCGCGCAGCCCACGTCCGCGGGCGCCGCGCCCGGCCACCGCGCTTCGACGAGGGAGCCCCAGAGCCCCGGCGCGGCGGCGAGGCGCCTCCAGTGCTTCGACACGCTCGCGGCGGCGCCGAGGCTGCGGTGGTCGGCGAACCAGAGGAACTGGATGTCGCCGAGGCCGTCGACGAAGCTCGCCGGCGGGCCGTCGCGCCCGGACGACGACGCGAGGGTCTCGACGAGGTCGGTCTTCGCGCGCTCGAGCTCCCGCCGCGCCGCCTCGAGCTGGGCGCGCGTCGCGAAAAAGCCCGACCCGCCGGCTGCCCCTCCGTTGCCCGACAACGCGTCCCGCCGCGCCGCCCGACCCATGTCTATCGCAGTAGACTTGTGCGAAGTGGACAGCGGCTAGTTTGAAGAAGCCCGGCCCATACGCTTAGTAGACTTGCGCGAAGTGGACTGCAAGATAGCCGTTTGATGATCTTGAACTTTAACGGGTAGCTCCACGACGCCCGATGGAACCGATGAGCCAGCAGCAGCTCGACGTCCTCGCGTAACGATGGACCGCGCCGCCAAGCTCGCCGAGGCCGCGCGCGGCCGCGACGCGGCGATGGCCGTGCAACAGCGGCGCAAGGCGCCGCTGCCCGAGGAGGCGGCCGCGGGCAGCAGCAAGCGGCTCATGCAGGCCTCGTCGCCGGCGCGCAGGGAGAAGAAGGAGTGGGAGCTCGAGGAGCTGCTCGCGGAGCAGGCGCGCCTCGCGCCCCAGAAGATGCAGCTGCGCATCGTCTGGACGCTCCTCGAGGTCGAGGTCGGCCGCGCGAAGGTCCGCGCGCGCGAGGCCGCCGCGCTGAAGAAGACGGGCCGCGTCGCCGCGCCGGAGATCCCCGCGAGCCTGCCGCTGTCGAGCCGGCCGCCCAAGTCGGGCAAGCAGCTCTGGCGGAAGGCCGGCATGGGCCTCGTGCTGGGCCTCAAGGCCTTCAAGAAGGACGCGGCCGTCGAGCCCCGCGCGCCGACGCCCAAGGCCCAGCGCCAGGCGTCCGCGGGGCTCGCCGCGGGCGTGTCGAGCGCGTCGCCGCGCAACTCGCGGCAGCAGCGCCGCGCCGACGTCGCCGCGCGCGAGCGGCGGGCCGCGTCGCCGCGGGAGGAGCGGCGGGCCGCGTCGCCGCGCGACCGCGGCGCGGACGCCGCCGCTGCGCCGCGCGAGCACAGCGCGTTCGACCGGCCGCGGTGGGGCCTCGCCGCGGCGGCGCCCGAGGAGCCGTCGCCGTCGAGCCGGCGCCTCACGGCGAAGAAGCAGCGCCTGGCCAAGTACAGCGTCGTCGGCCGCGTCGACGAGAAGCTGCGGGCCGAGCGCCGCGCGTCGCTCGCGGCGTCCAAGGCCGCGGCCGCGGAGCAGCGGGAGCGCGACGACATGCGCCGCGAGGAGCGCGCGCAGCGCGCGAAGCGATTCCACTTCGTCGGCCGCGGCCGCATTTTCTACATGCGCGCGCACGCGTTCCTGCAGACGTCTGTGTTCCTCAACCACGAGCGCGACTACATGGTCTGCGTCACGGAGCGCCACGCGGCGAAGCTCCACGCGCCGGTCCTCTTCAAGGAGCGGGACCTCGTCGCCGCGGCGACGGCCTACGAGGCGCGCGGGAAGCACAAGGCGAACCTCCGCCTCGTCGCGCCGGAGCCCGCGCTCGCGGCCGGCGGCGACGTCCGCGAGCCGACGGCGCTGCCGCCCTTCGCGCGCCACTACCTCTTCGAGTGCGGCCGCCTCACGATGCGGGGCCGCGGCGACGACGCGGGCGCGGACGTGTCCATCCTGGGCGTCGACACCTTCTCCCTCGGCGACGCCATGGCGTCGGGCAACTACGTCGACGCGGCGTCGTTCGGCGACTACGAGGCGCGCGCGCTCGACGGCTGGACGCCCGAGCACGAGGCCGGCGACGAGCTCCACGACTCCTACGCCGCGGCGCTCCACGAGGCCGAGGACGCCGCGCGCCGCGGTGTTGTTAGTCCCGAGACCTCGGCGCCGCGCGCCGCTTCGATCGTCCCCGGAACCGCGAAGACGTCCGACCCCGCCGCAGGTCCATCTCAACGCCGAGGCCCACGCGGTCATCGCGCGGAACCACGAGGCCGCGCGCCGCGACTCCCTGGCCCTCGCGGAGGCGCACGCGCGCGACTCCGCGCTCCTCGCGGACCTCGTCGACGGCTACGCGCCGGGCCAGCTCGGCGCGAAGCGCGACGCGGCCTACGACCCCCGCGCGGCCGACGCGGCGCTGCCGCCGCCCCAGGCGACGGCGCCGCGCGGCTCGGCCAAGGGCGCAAAGGTCGCGGCGACGTACCTGCGGCCGCCGCCGCAGAAGCCCCGGCCCAAGAGCGCCGCGGCGGCCAAGCCCGTGCTCAAGCCCGCGAACTACGCCTGGAAGAGCGCCAAGCCCTCCCAGCCCCCGGCGGCGCCCGCGCGGCCGAGCCGCGCGGTCAAGGGCGCCGTGCCGCGCCAGACGACGCGGCCCGCGCCGCCCGGCCCGCGGCCCGCGGCCGCGAAGAAGCGGCCCAAGTCCCACGCGGGCGCGCGCAGCCATAGCCGCGTGCTCTAACGCGGGGTAAAGCGCATGGCGCCTTAGCTTCTATCGCGCGCGCAGCCAGAGCCGCGTGCTCTCACGCGGGGGAAAGCGGATGGCGCCTTAGCTCCTATCGCGCGACCTTCTTCTTCTTCTTCTTCTTCTCCGGCGCGGCCTCCGCCTCGGCGGCGCGCTTCTCCTTCTTCTTCTTCTTCTTCTTCGGCTCGTCGGCGGCGACGGGTGCCTCCTCGACCGTGGCCTTCTTCGCCTTCTTCTTCTTCTTCGGAGGCGCGGCGGCACCCGACGCCGCGGCGAACGCGTCGTCGATGCTGCGCGCCTTGGCGGCCGCGGCGGCCTCGAAGGCGTCGTCGATGGACGCGAGCTTGGCCGCCGCCGCGCTGCTCGTCGTCGCCGTCTTCTTCTTCTTCTTCTTCGCCGGCTTGGCCGCGGGCTCGTCGTCGTCGTCGTCGCTGTCGTCGTCGTCGTCCTGCCAGTGCGTGTGGCCCGACGGGCCCTGGCCGGCGCGCACGAAGTTCGAGTAGAGCATCTTCTTCTCCGGCGGCATGTCCTCCGCCGCGGACCGCCGCGACCGGTGCGCCGACGCGACGTAGAAGCCCAGGCCGCCGGACTTGCCCTTGGGCGCCAGCATCTTGAGCGTGTCGTGGAGCGAGATGAGCTTCGCGTCCTCCATGGTTGCGAGCGTGTTTTGCGCACGTGTTAAGAGCGCGTGAGGGCTTGCGAGCTGCGTCCGGACGTCGCAATCAGAGGTCCATCGCCTATTTGCTGTGGCAACGAGGTCGATCTTGACGAGCGCGCACCGACGATGGCCTCCTCGAAGGGCGGCCTGCGCCTCGTCGGCAGCGACAAGGGCGCCGCGGCGCACACGGTGGCGGCCGATGCGGCGCCCGCCGCGGCGGCGCCCGCGGAGGACCCGGACAAGCTCGACCCGAATCCGCCGGTGCTCGACAAGTTCGGCAACCCGCGCATCAAGACGGAGCGCGTCGAGAACGTCATGGGGTCGCAGGCCGGCGCCGGGTCCGGCGACTTCCACATGTACCGCCACCACCGGCGCACGGAGATGCTCCGCGTCGAGCGCATGGAGCGGCAGGCCGGCGTCGACGACGAGGACGACGCGCACGCGGCGCGCGTCGAGGCGAAGCGCAAGGAGTGCGAGGACCGCACGGCGCGGAACGCGGCGAAGCGGCGGAAGAAGAAGGAGAACAAGGCGAAGCGCGACGCCGTCTACCAGGGCACGGGCGGCGCCGCGCCGCTCCCGTCCGACGGGTCGTTCCTCGCGCGCGCCAAGGCCCAGCTCGCGGCCGAGGAACTTAAGGGCGCGTCATCGTAGCCGCGTCGACACGCTCATGGCGTCGGGGACCTCCTTCCACTTCGTCTCCCAGCCCTTGGACTCGTAGGGCGCGTCGCGGAGCACCGTCGCGTAGTCGGGCGCGGCGACGGCGTCGAGGTAGCCCGGCGCGCCCGGGTAGACGACGTTGTCCGCGACGACGACGGTGCCCTTGGCGACGAGGCCCGCGCCCTCGAGGCGCCGCAGGTCCGGCGCGTAGCACTCCTTGCAGTGGTCCAGGAAGACGAGGTCCGCGGCGCCGCCGCGGAAGCGGCCGGCGAGGCCCCCGAGGTCGACGTCCTCGGCCCGTCCGACGACGAAGTCGACGACGGACCCCAGGCCCGCGTGCGCGACGATGCGCCGGGCCGTCGCGGCGAACTCGTCCGAGGCCTCGACGCAGACCATCGCCGCGCCCTCGGGGAGCTGGCTCCCGATGCGGACGGCCGAGTAGCCCAGGAAGGACCCGACCTCGAGGACGCTCGTCGGTCGCTTCCGCCGGACGACGTCGTCGACGATGAGGCCCTTGACGGGGCCGATGGCGAACATGGGGTATCGCGCGCCGAACGTCTCCATCGCCCGGAGCACGCGCGTCGCGTCGCCGGGCGCGCCGACGGCCTCGACGTAGCTCAGCACGTCGGCGGCGACGCGGAACGGGTAGCGCTCGTAGAAGGCCGCGTCGTCGAGCTTCACCGAGGCCGCGAAGGCCGCGTCGTAGTCCGCGGCGACCGCGAGCCGCGGCGACGCCGCCAGGGTCGCCAGGGTCGCCAGGGCGCGCCGCGAGCACGCGGTGCGTTGTGTTGTTGATGGTTGTCTAATGGGTTGTGGGCGGTGGCCGCCGGCGACGGCGAGGGCTGCGATGGCTAGCCGCATGCTAGCACCAGCTCGGCGCATCAGAGGCATGAAGTCGAGAGTGCATCAGCTATGCAACATAACATCTTCACGGCAAACAACATCCTTTTTGCGTGCCTTTCAAGGCTCGTTGGAAGTTAACCCGCACACCCCACTGCGGCGGACTTGGAGAGCGTCGCGACGCGGAGGACTTGGCCTGGGTGCGTCTCCCAGACCGCGGCGCGCAAACCGAGGAGGCAGGCGAGCGCCAGCGCGGCGCACGTCGTCGCCGAGAAAAAAGCGAGCTGCGCACCCATGAAGGTCGCGCCGGACGACCGTGGTGACTGGGCGCCGATCGTCTTTCGCGACGACTACGCATACAAGAGCTGTTTCTGCCTGCCCGGCATGTACTGCTGCCCCACGCCACTGATGATGTGGCACGGCACGTGCTGCGTGCCCGGCTGCTGCTGCTTCGTGCTACCCGACCCGACCATGGCATACGCCTCGCGCTGGACCATGTCGAACCACATGTTCGACGGCGCCGGAACGGGCGAGACGGGCGACGCGATGATGGTGAGCTACAACTTTTGGCACACGGACGGGGGCTACAGCGCGGTCGAGATCTTCCGAAACGCCCGGGCCGTGAATTTCTACGGCGAGCAGATCACGCGGACCGGTTGCTTTCCCAGTTTCCCGTCGTGCACGATCCTCTCGCTCATGTGCAGGACGAAGAAGATCTCGGCGGTCACATACGGCGACGAGGCCGAGGTCAAGAAGGTGACGAACGACCGGGGACGGTGCGCGACCGTGCTCAAGAAGGGAGAGTTGAAGCCGCTCCCCGGGAGCGGCGACGCGGCGGCGCTGGCTGAAGCGTTCGGACAATTTCACTACGGCTGGAAGGACGACAAGCGGGGCACCAAGCAAGAGACGATGTACTCTCTCTTTCTTCCGGTGTTCGCATCAGCTCCCTATATTAGTAAGTTGTAGGCTAGAGCGGCACATAGCTGAGTAGAAGCGCCGCTCTAGACCCGGGTCTCAGTTGTAGAGCGGCTAGGTCTATCTAGAGCGGAGCTTAAGTATAGGGGGCTGTTGTTGCACTCTGAATTTCCGAGCCCTAGGGCGCAACCTGCTTCCTGGGCCTTTATTGACGCTAACGCGTTTTTAACGCGCATCCCGCAGACACATGCACCACGCGATGGGGCAGCCTCCTTGAGGTCCCCGGTCCGCTGGCCGGTCCGCCGGCAGCGGCACTCTAAGCCACACTGCCAAACACACCGGGCTGTGTCATTCTGTTATAAGGGAGGAGGGTTAGGGTTAGGAGGGTTGGAATGGCATTTTTTGCCTAGAAAAATAGGCAAAAATGCGCATTTAGACTAGAGCGGCGTATAACTCGGGCTAAAGTGGCGCTTAGACCAGAGCGGCGCATAACTTAGTCTAGACCGGCGCTTAGACTAGAGCGGCGCATAACTCAGACTAGAGAGGCGCTTAGGCTAGAGCGGCGCATAACTCAAACTATAGTGGCGCTTAGCTTGACCTTTTTTACTTTAGTTAAGAGCGGCTAATATCACCAAAAGGGGAGTGTGTCATAACCACCATGGTGGTTATGACACCTCCCACGAACGCTCCACCCGGCGGAGGCTCGGGGCCCCTTGCGAAGCGGTCTTCGAATGTACATACAGGGTTTATACCTCGCGGCCGGAGAAGTCGTGGACGATGACGGTGCCCTGCGTGCCGTCGGCGACGAGGAGGTCGCCCTGGAAGTGGAGGGAGTTGATGTGTCGCGAGTGGCCGTCGAGCTTGAAGAGCTGGTCGCCGCTCTTGAGGTCCCAGCAGCGGACGGTGCCGTCGATGGACGCGGAGACGAGCTTCGCGTCGTCGGCCTGGAGCGCGACGATGGCGCCGCCGTGGCCCTCGAGCGCGTGCTTGCCGCAGCGGCGCTCGCGGTAGACGGCGGAGACGGCGCCGGCGGCGTCGGCCGCGGCGGCCGCGGCGCCGTCGGGCTTCCGGGGCTCGAAGCCGCCGCCGTCGGCCGCGGGCTGCATCGTGTAGCAGCGGACGACGCCGTCGCTGCCGCCCGTGCATAGCAGGCGCCCCGCGGCGCTCCGGCCCTCGCGGGAGAACACATCCTCGGCCTCGGCCTCGAAGTGCAGGCTCCGCACGGCGCCCTCGTGCGCGCCCGCGAGCTCGAAGTTGACGCGGCCCGTGTCGATGTCGTAGGCGACGACGGCCCCGTCCAGGAGCCCGACGACGGCGACGCCGTCGGCGACGGCGAGGCAGCAGATGGGGCTCCGGCACTCGGCGACGACGCGGTGCCGGCCGTCGGCGACGTCCCATAGCAGCAGCCGCCGGTCGAGGCTCGCGCTCAGGATCGCGTCGTCGCCGAGGGCCTTGACGCCCGTCACGCGCGCGCCGTGGCCCTTGAGCACGACGTCGGGCTCGCCGTCGGGCTTGTCGCCGGCGAGGAGCTCGTCCTCTAGGCTCTCGCCGTGCGTGAGCACCGCGCCGAGGAGGTCGTCGTCGCCGCCGCGGTCGCCGCCGCGGTCGACGATGATGGCGTCCGACGGCGCCTCGGGGAAGATGCCGTGGAGGAGCCGCGTGCGCGCCAGGGCCGCGTCGCCGTCCGGGTCCGTGGGCCGCAGCGCGAAGTCCTCGAGCGTCTCGTACAAAGCGAGCGCGTCCTCGAGGTCGTCGAGGTCGCCGTCGCCGTCGTCGTCGTCGGCGTCGACGAGCTCGAAGAGCGCGTTCTCGCCGCCGCCGTCGACGTCCGGCGACGACACGACGACGCTGCCGTCCGCGCCGCCGCTCACGAGCTTCTCGCCGGTCCACTCGAGCGCGGTCACCTCGCCCTCGTGCGCGTCGAAGCCGTCGAGCACGAGGCCCTCGTCGAGGTCCACGAGCACGACGACGCCCGCCGCCGTGCCGAAGGCGACCGTGTTGCCGTGGAGCCGCGCCATGCAGACGCGCGTGTCCTCGAGCTCGACGACGGCCATCTCGCCCATCGCGCCCGCGCGCCAGTTATACGCGCTCAGCCGGTCCGCCGCGATCTCCCGGCTCTTGAGCTCGGACACGCGGCCGTAGAGCTCGGCGAAGGAGGACAGCGACGCGTCGGCGCCCCACTCCTCGGACCGGTACTCGTGTTCCTCGGGCTGCGACTCGAGGGCGGCGCGGCGCGTATGGCGGAGCGCCGGCCGCGTGCCGCCGAGAAAACCGCGCGCGGCGCCGAGGCAGAACGCCAGGACGCATGTCGTTGTTCGTCGTCCCATGCTGCGGCGCGAAGATGCGAGTTATCCGCCGAAGGCCGCGGCGGCTAGCAGAAGAAGATCGTCGAGAGCCGAGGGCCTCGTCACCGCACGCTTTGGTTTTGCGTGATCATCACATTGAATACTGGTCTTTGCAGAAACATTGTCCGCAACAAGTGGAGCTGAAGACGGAATCTCCGCAGCAAGTCGATAAATATTGCAGCAAGTCGATGGACGCGTCGATTATCGGGCAGCCCGTTCGGCATGATCTGGCCCACGATGGGCACAACGGAGAGTACTTCGCTATGGGAAGTCGGGGTCAGGGGTGTCGAAAAACCACTCCGCGCTGTCTCGGGGCTTGCATGGGCTGAGATCGGTCTTCCCACACGCTGCGCGACATGCTGCGCGACTCGCTGCTCCCTCTGCTGCGCGCGGCGCACCTGCTGCAAATGGCCAAAATTGTCGCTGCATCACTCGCTGCTTCGCAACCACTCGCTGGATGAGACGTTGGATAAGTTAACTTCGTTTTTTGCTGCGGACAACGTTTCTGCAAAGACCAGTAAGTCATTGAATGTGCATTTTGAGCAACGGCCTGGGACGGCCACGCCGTTACCCCTCGCCCCTCGCCCCCGCCGCCGCCTTGTACGCGAACCCCGCCGTCGCGAAGCACGCGCCCGTCGCCGGGTCGACGAGGGGCCGCGCGTCCCGGAGCCACGCGGCCGCGTCCGCCGCGAGTTTCGCGCCGTCGCCCGTCTCCGCGAACGCGAGCGCGGCCGGCGCGAGCACCGGGTGCCAGACCTGCGCGGGCTGCGCCGCCCCGAGGCCCAGGAACGCCGCGGCGAGGTCGACGTCGCCGGCGCCCGGCAGCGTCGCGACGAGGCGCGCGCCGCGGCCCAGACTCCGCCGGAGCGCGGCCATCTGCGACCCCGAGTAGGGGAAGAGGCCGTTGTGCGTCAGAGGAAAGTGCTCGCAGCCCGCCGCGACGGGCAAGAAGAGCGCCAGCGCGTACAGCCGCGCGGCCAGCGTCGAGCAGGACGGCGCGGCGACCGGCGCGCTCGCGTCGTCGCCGACGAACCCCGCGAGGAGGACGACGCGGTTCTCGAGGAAGTCGATGGCCGTCGCGAGGCCGACGGCGAAGTGGAACGCCGCCGCGGCCGCCCGGAAGCCGCCTCTCACGCCCGGAGACCGCCGTCCAGCGATCAAAAACCCAACCCCCAAAATCTCGAGGCCCGCGCGGCTCGCGCCGTCCAGCGCCACGAGCGCCGCGTCCGGGAGGTCGCGGCCGATTTCCGCGAGGCGCGGCGCGACGACGTTGCCGCCCGTCGCCGCCCCCTCGAAGACGGCGCGCAGCGCCGCGGCGTCCGGCCCGCCGCCCGCGCGCCAGCGCCGGTAGCCGCTGCCGCCGTAGGAGTGCGCGAGCGCGAGCACGCGCGCCGTCGGCCGGCAGCCCGCGGGCAGCGCCTCCGCGACGAGCGTCCAGGCGCAGAGGACGTCGCGGTGCCAGCCGAGGGCCGCGTGGAAGCGCAGCTCGACGACGAGGTAGGCCGCCGCGACGCCGACGCGGAGCGGCGCGCGCGCGTCGGGCGACGACGACGCCGCGACCGCCGCGCCCGCGACCGCGGCGGCGAACGCGCACCGCTGGCAGCCGTCGGCGCAGAGCAGGACCAGGAGCCGCGGCGGGCACCAGCGCGGCCGCCGCAGGAACGCCGCGCGGTAGCCCAGGGGCTTGCGCACGCTCGCCGCCGGCCGCCGCGTCATGTTGAGCGTGAAACAGCCGCGGAAGTCGCGCAGGAGCAGCAGGACGAGCGACGCGTAGAAGAGGCGCGACGTCGCGGCGCCGCCGTCGACGCTCGTGTAAAAGGCGTCGGGGAGCGCTAATAGAAGTGCCGCCAAGGCTGCCGTCAAGGGCTCCATCGTGAGCATTCCAAATTCACAGTGACTTCAAGTTCAATTTTAACGCACGGCGCTCCGACGAGGCCTCCGACGACTCTCGCCAGAGCCGAGTCGCCCGCGCCGCGAAGCCGACGCGTAATGCTTGTGTCTTCGCCAGAGCCGAGTGGCCCGCGCCGCGAAGCCGACGCGTAATGCTTGTGTCTTAGGCGAGGCGCTGGGTCCTAGGCGCACTTCGTGAGGACGCCGTCGAGGCCCTTCTTGCGAGGGGGCGACTTGGCGTCGTCGGCGAGGTCCTTGGCCGGGTAGCCGAACCAGATGGCGCCCATGAGCTTCTCGCCGTCGGGCGCGCCGACGCAGGCCATGACATCCTCCGGCGCCGCGCCGAGCGCGCCCGTCATCCACTTGGAGCCGACGCCGTCGTCCGCGAGCGAGAGCATGAAGTTCTGGATCGCGCAGGACACGGCCGCGTGGTCCTCGAGGCCGAGCTTCTCCGAGAGGTCGTGCTCCGACGCGCCTAAAGACGCGCGCGTCGCCGCCGCGCGGGTGTGGAAAAGACGCCGCGGCCGCGCAGGTGACGACGAGCCACTCCGGCACGCCCTCGAACATGGCGCGCTTGTCCTCGTTGAGGCCGCAGAGCTTGGCCTTCGTCTCCGGGCCCGCGAGGTAGAAGCGCCACGGCTCGCTGAGGAAGTGGTTCGGCGCGAGGATCGCGGCCTCGAGCGCCTTGGTCGTGACCTAGGAAGTGGGAGCGTCACGACCGTGTCTCATGTCTACTATAAATGAAGTCGTCACGGCCAAACAGGCTCGGACTTGACCTATTGATTCTAATCATCGACGCCGCATCTCACGTCCGAGCCCACGGCCTTGTCGGCGTACTTGACGACGCTGCGGCGAGCGAGCAGGTTGTTGAGGCCGGCCACCTGCTCACCGCGTTTGAAGAGACGCAGCGGGTTGAGGGTGAGGGCACTCGCCTGACCGGCGACCAGCGCGAGAGCGACGACGCGTGCGAGCATGGTCGCGTATCGACGCTACGAGTTTGCTTTGATTGCTGGTGAAGCGGCGATGGCGGCGATGCGCTCGGCGATCGGCGATTGAGCGACGGCGCTCTGGCTGGACGGCGCGCGGCGAAGCGAACTCTGCAACGATGGCGCGAGGACTGCGCGCAGCGATGGGCGATTGGCGGACGCGGACGACGACGACAGCGCTGGTGACGAGGACGACAGGACTGATTGCACTGCTGAGGCTGAGTCGATCGGCCTGAGTCAACGTCTGTGGATCACGCCGATGTTGAGCCTATGCCTCGCCCCCCTTACGAGCCGGGCGCCTCCCTTAGGGCCCCCGCCTGAGGTCACAACTTCCCCCAGGCGAGGGACAGGAGACTCTCCGCCAGGGGAGGGGCGCGGTCTACTCAGGTCAGACTTCAAGGGGCCCCATATGCATCGCATGCACGAACGACGCCCTCTTCCGCGCCTCGCCTCCCTTACGAGCCGGGCGCCGCGCCTGCTTCTTCTTCTTCATTTCTCGGCTCACTTCTCCCAGTCGACGCCGAACATTTGCCCGGTGCCGTCGGCCGCCCAGATGGTCATCTTGAGCGCGCCCGGCTCGTAGTTGAGCTGGACCTTGTCGCCGCGGCCGAGGGCCTCGGCGACCTGCTCGTGGACGGCGACGACGGGGATGGAGTCGAGGACGCGATTGAAGGCGTCGTCGGGCGCGCCGCCCGCGCACTCGACCGTCGCGGCGTCCTCGAGCGGGAAGGGCCCGTAGCCGCCGGCGAACGTGAGCACGGCGACGACGCCGTGCGCGCCGTGGTCGCGGATCGCGCAGCCCACGGCGCGCATGTCGGCGCTGAGCACCGTCGCGCGCTGCGTGCGGCTCGCCATGCCGTCGTCGACGACGAGCTGCGCGACGAGCAGCGGCGCCGTGAGGTGGCGGTACGCGAGGCACTCGGACGCGCGCTCGAACCAGCGGCCGTGGCGCGCGAGGCGCTCCGCGGGGCGGCTCCCGTCGCTGCCCGTGTGGCCCAGGCGCTCGCCGCACGCGACGAGGTCGTCCGCGTGCTCGCCGGCCGCCGCGTCCATGCCATCGTACGGCGCGAGCGCGGGCAGCGGCGC